TATACTAGTCAGAACTGAATAGTTGGTATCTGAATGACAGATCCCCATAGAAGTCAATAACAATGTAGGTACTAGTCACTATTGAATTAACTAGTAACTAATTACTACTATCTACTGAACAAAACACTATCTTTAAAAAGTTACTAGTAAGAATGAGCACTGCCTTAAGAATAAGCACTAGTATCTAGTAGCTTACCAAATGAAATAGATACTAGTAGCATAAAATAGCATGCAAATAGACACTAGTGCGTTTCAAGGATTAAATGTTAAAACGGTATGCCATACCCTGACTGTCCACTTACCGTTACCAATTCCGCATTATTCCTCGTGGTTAAATGCAACGACAGGAAGCCTCTCCAGCGTGACGTTGGCGCTAGAGCACACATCCATCAGTCGGCATTCTGCCCGAGGAAAACAAAGCGGAAATAGCGCCACTGACGGACGGAAGTTTGTATGTCCAAGATGGCGCTGGACGGGATCGAGCAAGTAAGTGATATTTTTCTATTAAATCGAAAAATATGAACAGCACAGTTAGCTGTGTTTTATAAGTCAGCATCACATATTGCATATGAGGAACCTGCTATAATTGTAGTGTTTGGAAACATAAGAGAATGGCTGACTTTAAGACTCGTTTGCTCGGATTGAAGCAGAGTTTGCTGTCTCATTGTGTCACACTGACTGGGACTGATCATAACATGGTGTAACTGGTTAAAACACAACATATGTTTGATGAATGTTTTGTTATAGCATGCGAAATCACTAGTTAAAACAATAGAAATATTTTATGTCTTATAATAAGAGAAGAAATCTCCGATAATCACATCTCAGAGTCTGATCATAACACAGAATCGAAATCGCTCCTATCTGGTCATAACTTCATAACAGAAATCTTTACTTTCGAAGCATAACATGAGAAATCTCTCATTACTGATCGTAACAAGTTAAATGGATCATTTCTAATAAAACGGCATTAATAATCACATCACTTTACCTGGCACTGACTATTAATAAACTGATTGTTTATGTTATTAATATTATTGTTAATAATAATTTTTTTACAGATGGATATTGAGGACAGTAAAGGAGGATCTGGTCTCCGACAGTATTACCTGTCTAAAATTGAGGAGCTTCAGGTAAGAATAGCCATGACGCACAATTTAATCTATAGATATTAAGGACTTTGCTTTTATGTTTATTACGGAAATAATTTAATTTAAAAGAATATACGGTGAACTGGTTGTAATGTTTTCAGACACTTAATTGCATGTTATTTACAATTAAAT